AGATTCAACATTACCCTACGAGATTTGATACACGAAAAAGGCCGGGACATACGCGACCCACTCTCATTCAGGTTTCTCTCTGATACAAGATGAAGTATTTAATATGAAAAAAAGATTAAAAATGTTAAATAACAAATGACAAATATAAGTACAAATTGTGCTGTTCAGAGTAAATATTTATACGGGGTTTTTACATAATTTCATACAGTTTTACGTTTATGTGATTTTTATTATTGAATATTAGGGGAACAAATGCAAAATTTTTTTATTATACATCAAATTAATAGAACTAGAATTAAACTCTGAGAATGAATAATTTAACGTGATTATAATGATTATAGTGATTTTCACATAAATGATATGTTATTCAAATATGATAATGATAAAAAACTTACTGATTACATTCTTATAAAAATATAAGTATTATCTCACATAAAAAGAATCACATATATTTCATCTAAACAGGAATGCACATTATTTATTATAATCGTAGCTTTATATCAAAGGTCAAGAATGAATAGAAATAAAATAATTCGTGAAATCCAATTTGTATTTGCACGTAATACGATTTATGTTGTTGAAACAGCGAATTTATTTAATATATTTTTATATTTTTTAATTTACAAAAATGTAAATTATTATAAACCTTGTTTAAATATAACATCATCTTATTCCAATTATCTATATTTCTGAATTTTTGTAATTTCAGTTGGTGCAATGATACAAATTTACATTAAAAAAAAAATAAAATAAATATTATAAATAGATAATATTCCGAAAAACACCATTACGGTAACGTATTAACGGATTTTAATCCCAACTATACACACTTTCTTTTTACCCTTGATATACATACTCGGGTTCCTGGGATCCATATTTATTACCGTAACTTTCATAAAAGAATATATTTCAATTACTTTTTTTTCAATCTACGGAGAATTGATTAAGGAATAAATCCATAATGTGTAAAAATCGATAGAATTCGAGATGTATAGGTTCAAAGAAAAAGAAAGTTCAAAAACACAAAAAAATTTCGATTTAGCAAATATAATATAATAAAATCTATGTTTTTTTTATATCTAGGCACTGAGGTTTCTGGGTCCCCAGTGTATATAGCTAGGATTAATTATCCGCAATATCGGCATTACTCAAGACAATTAAAGAACGATATAAGATATGCAATATATTATAAATAATGCAGTATGCTATAAATTATGTAATAAATCTAACTATTTAATCGCAGCTATTATACTGCATCTGTTTGTCATCTTCGCAAACTATCAACTTTGTTGTCGCAACTTCCTAGACGTCTCAATGTCGTGGTGAATAGATTTCATTTCCAATCCAACTGTCGAGAATTCAAGAGATTGATACTCCTCTTGGAATCTCTTTTTTTAAAAATATTTATAGCAAAATGTTATATTTATATTTTTAATATTTTTGAAATGTTGAATCACAATTTTGATATCCCAAAATATACTTTTTCATTTAAAGCACTTCTAGACAGTCCTAGATATAAAAAAACATAGATTTTATTATATTATATTTTTTGTTAATATAATTTAAAATAAATTGTTACATAAATTATACATTTAAAGGACCCTGCACGAATATTATGGTAATTGAATTTGGGTCGAATTGGCTAAAAATTTGATATGTTGTAGGTCTCGTCGCCCTGATAAAAAGTCTCCACAGGCACGACTCCCTGTAATGAACCGTTTGACCTCTATGAGGCGTCAATCTTCAAAACGAGCTAATACTACAATATGTTATTTTTAACGAGTACGGTGTATTCTTACGTCATTATTTGCACTTTCTATGTATATTTTTAATTAAAAAATGATAAGGATAATATTGACTTGATTGCTTCTCACAAATCGTGGTGCTTGATTACTGTGAGTCCTCTCGCCTCTCACAAATCGGGGTGCTTGATTATCGTGATTCCTAGTACAAAACGTGTGTGTGTTTAAACGACAGGTTCAATTACGTCTATAATGTGGTCAACATTTATGTTACTCGCTTTTAAAGCACTTTCTAATATTTGGGTAGATGGGTACCTTACATTTTCTTGATTTCAAGTCCATCTTAAGTACCAAATAACTGCTACTATGTATGAGCACGTCCTCAAAGTTCTCGCTCCAGATTTACAAGTACAGTAGTACCCTAGAATTGGATTACCTCCGTTTTCGATTTCTTCATTACTCTGTATATATTCTTCATCGAATGCAATCCACAATTGGTGATAAGTAGAGTTTTGAAAGCGCGAAAATAATTTAATTCTTATGAATCCTGGCTCATTGGTGTTAACTTGCTCATTTTATTCTTTTGACTTTTTTTTAAAATCAAGTTATCGACCTCGATATCTTTACAGCATTTTTATGAGAAGCAATCAAGTCAATATTATCCTTATCATTTTTTTACTTAAAAATGTACATAGGAAGTACAAATAATGACATAAGAATGCACCGTACTCGTTGAAAATAGCATACTGTAATATTAGCCCGTTTTGAAGATTGACATCTCATAGAAGTCAAACGGTTCATTATAGAGGGTCGTGCCTGTGGAGACTTTTTATTAGGGCTACAACATATCAAATTTTCAGTCAATTCGACCGAAATTCAATTTTATGAGGTTCGTGTGGGGAGAGGTTCAATAGCAAAATAAAGACAAATGAAAGTAGAATACAGGTATTTAGAGCGTAATTAAATTTACAGTATAATTTTAGAAAAGTCGAAACATTCAAACGATATGTATAGTCTAAGTACTAAAATTATACTGTAAATTTTATTGCGTTCTAATATTTGCGTTCTACTCTAATTTACCTTAATTACTAATTAATTTTGAGAGCCAAAAAAAATTTTCTTTTTCCATATTATCCAGAACATCGATCATATATTTTTTTTCTCTATAATAGAAATGTGAAAAGTGAAAATTGAGATATATATATATATATATGTATCCATATATATATTCTTTATGCAATTGGTATAATTAAAAAATTGTATATCTTTTTGAAAAATACATATGCAATTTAATTATATAATTATATTTTATGAAGAATTGTAAAGCAACTACTACATACTTGGGTTAGGAAGGTCTTTTAATAGAAATACACAAAGATATGTATCATTTACGTTTTATTTTATAAAAATTAAATATAGTATTACTTGATTCTTATTTTTTATTTAGTACAACAATTTTTTTTACATTTAAATATACAAGTACACAGGGCGATCTTATGCGCCCGTGTATTGACACTAACCGTGTTCCTGATTATAGTAATATATCGATAAAATATTTTATTATTGCCACATGTTAAAATTTCGAATATAAATTAAATGTCCATATTACTGCATCATGATGAAATTTTTTTTGTTATTTCAATGCCACGTCAATTACATCAGCAAAATAATTAAAAAAAATGATACAAATGGAAATTAATGATAGGAGATTAATATAATGACTTGCATGATGTCGTAACATATACTGTGTGATTTTATAATTACAGCACGTAACTTCCTGAAAAGGGAGACAATAACATATGCTTTATTAAAAAGACAAATCGGAGTTTACCAAGCCTCAGTTATGAATTTTCCATGTATATATAAGGCTTGTGATGAATAAATAGATGAATGCATAGAGGTAAATATATATAAAGCTCGTCACTTCTACGTGTACCATTTGACAACTAGCTTTACTACGAAACAGTGCAGTTTACTTAAGTGAACATTTAAACGGCGTAAACGATTGAAATCAAAGACGAGCAATTTAGAGGTCAGTGTATTCAATTATTCTTTATCAATATTGTATCTTTCTGATACTGATATTCGAGGTTTGTCAATGAAAATTTTAAGTAAAGTCATAACGTGATAAGCATTATAATTACATTATAGTACATTTTTTGATACGTTATTGAAAATATGGCATCATCTTTCCAATGATGGAATGAAATGTGTGTGAAAAACATATAAATAAAAAGAATCTTAATTAATGAATTTTATGATATATGGATACAACAGTGTGACAATTAAATTCCCGGACTGAGGCCATCAAAAATTCACAAAAAAGATCGAAAATATTTATCTATACCATCATTTATAACGTTTTCCATTGGCAGAATTAATGC